ATGACCGCTATCAGTCATCTACGAGATTTAAAGCATATTCACATTATTATATTAAGAATTTAATTAAGAATTTGGCTCGAGCACAGAGAGCTGGGCTTTAAACCAGAACTGGAAACCAAAAACAAAAACAATATTTTTACCTAAGCGAAAAAAAATATAATAATACATCAATTATTTTCGGTTCGGGTAAAATATATCTTATATATAGTGCAGATTAGGATTATATAAAACTTGCGTTTCAAAATCCAATGCACTTGGATTGCACAAATTTTTGCAGTCAACCTGCATCGTTAAAGGTGAATTATGGTAGGTGTAGATATAATCTCACAAGAATTTGAAAAGTTCCTTATTATAAAAGCTTTAACACAACTGCTGTAACGTAGTTTGGTGTTCTAAATAAAGCAGTTATTCCCACAATTAAGGCATTAAACACAAATTTCGACTACAATTTTATTAATTTCAAAGAATAAGTAGTATATTTCACAAACGACTTTTTCGTGTTGATTGAAGTATAAGTATTCTAATAGCTTGACATATTAAATTAACGTGTTCATAGAATGTAGTAAGTGTTACCATATTCTATTACCACCTACATAATTACATTATATCCCTATGTACAAGACATAGTAGTTTCCCCTTCTTTAAGACTTCTTTAAAAAATTTTAAATAATTTGACCCTGCTAAGTTCAGAACTACTTTAGATCTATGAAAAGCATATGACTAACATCTTTTCTTTCCTACTCTTTATTTTGTAATACAGGGTTTCATATATTCGTTATATATTTCATCGATTTTCTAGTACGAAATGGGATATATAAGATTTTTGTGATAAATTAACTATATCAATAAAGTACACATTTTCGTAATGAAATGTTTCATAATTTGGGTTGAGCATCCACTAGATATACTAACACTAAATACAAGTGCTGTTAAATGCCATTGATGTTTCAATTAAAAATTAATTTATTATGTCAGGTGCACAGTTTAACAATGATCATTTAATTGTACTTTATCAACTCCCTGCTTTTATAGTTTACATTTCATATCAAGACATTAATATTAAAATTTTAATAGCCTAAAGTATAAGTTAACAATGCTCCCAAAACCAACTTGCTCTACGAAATTTAACAATTTATCTTTTATGTGTTCCCTTGGTTCAGTCCACGCAGAACTTTAAAGGACAAGGCATTTGCACAATAAAATAAACTACCCGAAGCACTCATCACTGCGTTAAACTCCCACTATACCTCCACATCTCACAACTTATCTCAATAACTTACATGGGCACAACAATATAACATCCACAAGATGAGCACAAAATTACTCATAGAATATGTTCAGATTCGGAATATAAACTTGGGAAAATCACCATATTTCATTGTTGAACCCTTTCGTTGTTAAAAGTTAAATTTGTTTAGTGAGAATTTTGTATCTGCTGCATAATCATGTACAATGTGCAGGAGTGTTTATGGTTGTGTACAGTTTGGGTGGGAATGGAAGCGGGGACCACTGCCACAAAGTGTGTTTTTGAAATATAGCAACTCAGATACCAAAACACTTCTTCACTGAACTGTCACAGCTGACGTTGAGTTATCATAAAACGCAGAACTTTGTATAGAGCAACAACTTTATTCTTGTTTCTAAACATTTCACAAATTTAATACTAATAAATGGAATACTTATATTCAAAATGTCGTTTAGTATTTATAATTAATCGGTTGTAACGAAAACAAAGTTAAGTCCAGAGTATATTTATTGTCCTTCGCTTTTAACCCCCGACACAGTAAAGAATCTCAATTTTTTTTTGCTTATTGTACTATTATGATTCTTTACAATTTTGCAGTTTTTTTAAGTTATTATATCTTCTGTATTTAACGCCACATAAATTAATCTAGGCAATATTGCTTTGGAGAAATCTTTATACAAATCTATACTTAATAATTTCCTACAATCGTACCTAAAAATTCTACCGATTTCCAACATTTTTCACATTTGCTTTTATATAATAGATTGATGATGTTCATAAACATCCCTTAATATCATACTTCATTGAAAACAAGTCCATAAGTAATCTGAGAATTAGATAGAGGACATTCATAGTGTGATATTGTAAAAGCACCACAGCAACAATTGCTGCTTATAAAGAAATACTTCACAAGTATTTCATAAATAAGTAATATTCACTTACTTATTCGCTTACAACAATATGTATTATAACTATTATAAATTATTTAACAAATCTTAAGGATAACTCTTTTATTTTACTTATTCTCTTTAAAAGCTTTATATATATACATATATATATATTATTAGTTTTAAGAATTGATAATTATAAAATAAAGTTAATCATAAATATACTTGTCTCGTGTAGTGACCTTACTAAATACAACAATATGTTACCTCGTTTCGGTTTGATGTAGCACTCCTTTCCAGGCACCTCTACTGTACCACACATTTCTGCTAGAAGTTGATCTGTACTTCGTTCTGCCATCATTTAACGCTAAGCTTATTTTCGCATATTGATAGAAGCAAAGGCATTAATAACATTACACTAATTACGCTCAATGATAACTTCATTAGCGCAAGCAAACAATCTGATTCATTTCTACAATATGCCACCATTCCTATAATTATTTGCCTTGTGTGACGAGACTTGATTCTAGCTTAATTCTATAGCGCCGCTTTAAAAGAACCTTATACTCGTACACAACAGTTATTAGGCTACTGTCACGATTTTTGAAGCAAATTTCTTATTTTCAGAACAAAACAGAGGTAACTAAGACTTTTATCTCAGCCGATTGAATATGGCATTTTATAACGTTGATATTAAAATGGTAAAATGGCAATACCTCTATTTCTAGAAGTATGCAGATAATATTCTACATATAAATTAATTTTTACCCATCTAAGTAGTAAACATTTAAAATGTTATTTCATTTTTTATGCTTATAAGTAAAGGACACAAAATTGATTGAGGAAATCGTCATTATTCTACAATAAGAGATAATTATATCAGTAGAAATAATTATACTGCAGCGAGGATTAAAGCCGTCTATCAACTATAGCTACGTCTTTAAAAATAACCAATATATATGTATTTGCGTTAGAATAGGATTTGCATTTGCTTTCAACGAGGCGATTCTATAAGTTATATTAGTTATAAGTTACAGTTATAAGTTCTATAAGTTATTAAAAAAGAATTGAAGTGTTATCAAAGCACGTCCAATGAATCTATGCTCTGGAAAGTGAACTTCCCGACAGTTGTTTGCTGGTAGATCATTTTTTGTAAAAATAATTAAGACGATTATTCTATGTGGAAAAATTAACAACGAATTCAACCTTGAAGGCAAACATTGAGTATACCTTAAGTATTCAGATAAGTAGACAAAAATTAGAGCTCTTAGGTAGTTTTACCATAATGGCTCGATAATTAAAACTATTGTTAGTTATTATTACCATATAAGTATACAATAAAAATATAAAAAATATTTGACTAATTTGCTTAAACTTTGTTTGTATTCATTCATTTTGAAATTCGACCCATCTGTATCCCATACCCTATATAATACTCATCACTCCAAATCAATTATCTAATACATAATAGGAATTTATTGAAGGAATTTAATATTTCAATCCAAAGCGATGCTAAGTTATATAGAAATGTAAGAAAAAATGAAGAAATTATGAATTCGAAATGTGCTAATCCGAAAGTAAAATTAATATAAAGAATGGTTTTTTTTTGAGTATTTCATATGCTGGCAATAAAATGAGGAACAAAACGTCAATAAAGTTTAATTAAACATAAAAATTTAAAAGTTTTTGCAGAGTACTTTTGTGTAATTGTTTGATGTTGCATTCTTTAACTTTTTTTTACCTATCTTAGAAACAGAAAAATAAAAGCACATAAGAGCAGTGTCTACAGAAGTTTTAAGATTACAGTTTTATCTTCGGTCGACCTACGAAGGTGTGATGAAATTCTGAAAGTACTGAAAGTACTGAAAGTAAAACAAGCATGAAAAATAAAATAACGTGTACAGTTTACCATCTGAAGGTGCTCTTACCTTTCGATGTGATCACGTGCAAGTAAAAGTAACATTCTGACTATCGTAAAAAGTTCAAAATTTATGACGGCATTTAAAACATTTTCACAATATTGCAAAATTATGCGTCTTCTGCTGCATAATTACCGTATATGACAGCAAGATACAAGATATTGCAGAGAACGAAAAGATATTAGTTCCCACCTCGCACACACAGCGGTATTCAGAGACACCATATAATGTAGGTTTTGAATGCCTTCCCATTCCTCCACTCCTCCTTTTTCATCGTTAAAATATGTGCGTAATTCTTACACAGTAAACTGGAGTGGAATTGTATTTATGTGCAAAAAGACCCCGAAAGTAGTACGCCAGAGGGAAGTAATTGTTGGAAGCTAGACAGCCGAGTTGCGAGCTATTTGAAGTGCGAGTGTAACAAATTTCATTAAAAAAGAGTAAAATTTAAGCTTTAAAAATTTTAAATTATCAAAACATTATTTTGAATGGCATTTCGTCTTCTTCCCTGAGTTGGAAACTTTTACTACTGTCGCATAGCATATAGCAAGGTTTGTACGAGTGTACGAAGTGAGACTTAACGCAAACTTCCGCATACGAATATTTGTAAATGTATTATATTCGACTGAATGCTCAGCTGAACGCGTGTGATTGAGTTTGAGTACGTATGTATTTAAGCAGGAAAAACTTTTCCATCATTTACATAAAAGCAAGCTTTTTCCAAAACTACGTTGGGTAAGCGGGCGCCTCAGCTGTTGGAGCTGCCGAAACTAGTCAAATTTAACTTTGAAATTTTTAATAATACACACGTTTCAAGGGAATGAAACTTTAGTGCGAACATCTCCATATATGAGGTCTTTGAGCATTCGGAGCACTATTATAATTTAAGTGTCATGTAAACTGCTTTATATTTTTACTATTTATGATTTAATACCTTATTTGTTTTAGGATCGACATGTGAAACGGAATGGTGATGCGGAGCCTGCAGTGGATCCATCGCAAGATTACATCCTCATCATGGGTTATGAGAACGCAACACACACCGTTCTGAGGTTTCGTAGAAAATTAGATACCTGTGACTCAATGCATGACATTCCCATAACGGTAAGTAAACTTTTTGTAAAAGTAAAGATTTTTTATATAAATTACTCGTCTGACTTAAATCAGTCATAAAAAATCCTTCTAGAAATGTCAATTGATTTCCCACGGTTATGGTGTATATCAGGGATATGATTGTCATGATTTGTTCTTATATGCATTTTTGTGCATAATAAATAAATTATCGTGTGATTTTAAAGCTCCATGAGAACTTATAATGATAATATAAGAAAGAAATATTGTTGTAATAAAATTTTTTTATTATAAACTTTTATATAATACAATATTTTATAAGCATATGTCCGCCGCAGCAACGAGTTACATGATCCATTTGATCAGTCCCATTTTTGACTGTTTTTTACAATAAATGTGGCCGTACGACACCAATGATAGCATAAACATTAATTTTCAATACTTCAAGAGTTGCTAGTTTGTCGGTATAAACTTAACCTGATAATGAGTTAACATAGCCCTATAAAAAGCAATCGAGATGTGTTATGTTAAATCGCACGAATGAGGCTGCCAAGACAAACCAACAGGAATACTTCTGGAAATTACGTTGTTACGAAATTAATTTCGCAATATATCGATGGTTAAAAGTGCTAAATGGCGAATTGCGCCGCTCCATCTTGTTGAAATCAAATGTCGTCAATGTTTAACTGATTAATTTTTAGAAACAAAAGTTTAGTCAACATCTCATTAGCGCTCGCACTTTCCTCATTCTGAAAGAAATAAGGACTGATATTGCCGCCAGCATGTAAACCGCACCAAACAGTCAATTTTGATGATCTTGTTGATTTTGAATCGAGAAGAGTAAAATTAGTGCGAAAATGATCAATAACTGCACGAATTACTTGCTCACTAGACCAATTATGTTGACCGTAAACTATACGAAGTGCTCTATGCATTTCGCAAACAGATTTATTTTTTACAAATTAAATTTTCACAATTTGAAAATTCGTTGTTCTAGTGTTAAACGATTCATGATTAATTGCCAAACCTTACTGAACAGAAATGTTCATTCTCAGCTGTCAAACCATAGTTATCGATATCGATAGTTTTTATTCAGTTAAAAAACAACTAGTGTAATTACTATTAACTGTCAGTAAAACACCCCTTTTGAAAACGCAATTTTATCGCTTAATAAAAGAAGTAAACAAAAGAAGTAAACTCTCTAATATTATATTCCAATAAAATCTGGTCTTTGAGATAGATCTAATATATGCATTCAATGTATGCATTTAGTTTCAATATGTTTTATGAATTTTGATTGATTGAACTTGACTTAAACAGGAAACAAATATTCAAATACGAGTTTTATATTGCTCTCTTTCACGTATTGTCAAATTTCAATGATTTACCTGATTTATATAAAACTTTTATTAAAATTAATTCGAATAGTTGTTGTTTGACATCATTTCTTTATATTTTTTCATTCTTCCAGGAGGTTGAGGATTTTAATGTTGTATTATATTTCTAAGGGATTCAATTTTGAAAACACTTACTTTTTTTTTTTTTTTTTTTTTTTTTTTTTTTTTTTTTTGGATTAGGAGAAAAGCATCGAAAGCCTAAGTCAGTGTAGGACTTTAACCCACTAAAAACTCCTCTCGTCCGTACGGGTCACCCTTCTGGAATCACCGTAAAGTATAACATCAGAAGGCCGTATTGAGCATTAAGCTCACCCTATATTTAAAGTTGAGCGTGAAGCTCATACTTCGTTAGTCTTATTCATTCTTCAGCGCAGCGAAACGCTGTTCTGTCCACTAATTTGGAATTTTACTTCCGTCACCTATAGTTTTGTAAGTCAGTCTTACGTCTGTATTGCTAGTGTTATTGACTGCCGCTGCTGTTGTTGTCCATAGCTGTGTTTTGCAGGTCTGGTACTTGAGGTTGTGGATGACGCTCTCGTTGTTGTTGCTGAAGGGCTTTACGCTCTCTTTCTGCATCTTGTAATTTGCGCATTATTATGTTAGCAAACCATTTAACTGCATTCCATTTTTCATTCGACGAGCACATTTCGCTTACTAGGTTTTCGATTGTTGGTGGTCGTCCTATGGTTTCTTGTAGTATTTGGCGTTCTTCAATAAATCTTGTGCAGCTGAAGGCAACATGCTCTGCACTTTCTACTTCATTCGGGCAACTTGGGCAGATAGGACTGTCGGCCAAATTGAATCTGTGTAGATAATGCAAAAAGCAACCATGTCCGCTTAGTATCTGGGTGAGATGGTACTCCAGCTCTCCATGGGGTCTTGTGAACCATACCTCGATGTTTGGGATTAATGCATAGGTCCATCGGCCATTGAGGGAGTCTTCCCATCTTTGCTGCCATTCTCGCAATGATTGCGCACGTTCAATAGTTCTTTCTTCTTGAGATGGCTTTACACCTTGCGTGTGATACAGCCGGCCTAACTCGTTTGCACGTATAGTTACTGGAATCTTTCCGGCGATAACACAGATTGCGTCATCGGATACTGTGCGGTATGCACACGCTACTCGTAGTGCGCTGCGTCGATGAGCCCTTGCAACGTGCTTGATGTTGCTATCTGTAGCATTTGCCCATATTGGAGCCGAGTATAGTATTATCGAATCTGTTACCAATGATAATAGCCGCCGTCTTTCGCCTTGTGGACCACCTATATTTGGAAGTATTCTTGCCAATGCGCCATTAACCTTCTCAGCCTTGTCACTCACTGCTAAGAGATGTTGCTTGTAGCTAAGCCTCGAGTCAATCAAGACGCCCAAGTATCTTATTGCCTCTTGTGATTTTATTTCGCACTCGCCAATGCACAGAGTCATTTCTTCCTTTTTTCTACGGCCACTAACCAGTACTAATTCCGTTTTTTGTGCTGCTAGTTCAAGTCCGGCTTTATTAAGCCAGTGTTGCACTCTCGCCGCAGCATCATTGCATTTGGCTTCTAATACATCAAGGTGCTTGTCTACTACCACCAGTGCAATATCATCCGCATATCCAACGATTGTCGCTTTATCGGGAAGCTGGAGTTGCAGCACGCCATCGTACATAGCATTCCATAGCGTTGGACCCAGGACTGACCCTTGTGGTACACCACCTGTAATTTTATAGCTTTTCATGCCTCTATCTGTCTGGTACTGCAATGTTCGCTCGCTGAAATAGCTACTGATTATGCGTAGAAGGTAGTCGGGAACGCAGTATCTTTCTAAAGCCAACAGGATATTGTGCCACTTTGCCGAGTTAAAGGCATTTCTCACGTCCAGTGTAATAACTGCGCAGTATTTCATTCGGGTGTGACCGCCGCTGCATGCAACTTGCGCTATGGACGTTACTTTTCTGATGGCGTCTACTGTTGATCTCGCTTTTCGAAAACCATACTGCATATCAGACAGGCCGTTGTTGTTTTCAAGGTATTCTTGAAGTCGATCACAGATTAAGCGTTCTAAGACCTTTCCCGCTGTGTCCAGCATACACAGAGGTCTGTATGACGAAGGTTGGTCAGGAAACTTCCCTGGTTTAAGAAGAAGTACTAAGCGTTGCAGTTTCCATTGTGATGGGAAGACTCCTTCTCTTAAGCAAGCATTATATATATCAGCGAACAGTTGTGGGTTTTTTCGTACCGCTGCTTTGAAAGCGACATTGGGAACTCCATCTGGCCCCGAGGCTTTTTTTTCGTGTATCCGGCACAGCGTGTTGATCACTTCCTCTGCTGTTATTGTCAGTATACTGTCCTGCTCGATTTGTGCGTACTCTCGCATTATCACCTCCTCTTGTGGGGGGAAGAGTGTAAGCACGATTTGCTCTAGCAGGATAGGGCAAGTTGGTTGAGGGGCTCTCTGGCCTTTTACCTTTCGCATTACTGTTTTATAAGCCAATCCCCAAGGATCGACATCGGTACTATCACGTAGTTGCGTAAAACAACGGACTTTACTTTGCTGGATTGCTCGTTTAAGGTCGCGTTTTCGTGTACAAAACTCGGTGTACTGCTCTTCAAAATCTGGCCGTCGTCTTGCTCGTTGCGCTCTTCTTCTTGCTGTTATGCACGCTCTACGCAGGCTGGCTATTTGATCTGTCCACCAATATGCGGGTTGTCTTTTGCCATTGTATCTGCATCTGGGCATCGATGCATCACATGCGATGTTTATTTGGTTCGCCAGTTGTGTTGCCATTTCTTCTGCAGTAGTGATTTCGATTTCCACATCTTGCCACATAACATCGAAAGCTTCGGCATCAAAGACTGATCTCTTCCATTTCCTTTGCGCGATTAAGTTGTATTGTGTGTGCGATCTTGTTTTGCTTGTGTCGAGCATTATTGCTTGATGGTCACTGTGCGTGTATATTGACTCATCTACTCTCCATCTTGTGCGGTTTGCCGTGATGCTATCGGAAAAGGCTAAATCTATTATCGAATGTCCTCTAATACAAGCGAACGTGTATACGCCAGGTGTATTCAGCAAAACCAGATTCATGGCAGCGAAGGTTTCTTCAACTATCTTTCCTCGTTTATCTGTGTACCGGCTGCCCCATGTTCGTGACCATGCATTAAAATCACCAGCAATGATTATAGGGCGCTTTCCTCTTAGCTCATTTTCTAATGAACACATCATTTGAGCGAAATAATCAATTGACCATCTTGGTGGTGCGTAGCAGCTCACATAGTACACGTCATTCTGTTTCACCCATACGTAACCTCTGCCAGGAGCTGTTATCTTGCTTTGTAAAGCTTTGTTATTTGTCACCCAGATCGCCGCTTGTTTCTCTGAATCTGTAATCCAGTAATGTGAGTGTATATCTTCGTACGGTTCCGAGAGTAAGACCATGTCAATATTGTTCTCTGCTACAGTTTGCCACAGTAAATTTTGTGCAGCTTTACAATGGTTGATGTTTAATTGTAGTATCTTCATGCCTTGATTTTCTGTAATGCTTCTTTGTATCGTGGACATTTTCCGCTACCAGCTGTATGTGCACCTTCGCAGAGGACACATTTTTCTGCATCATTGCAATTTGCTGCACGGTGTCCTTCATTGCCGCATCGTCTGCAGATATTTGTGCGATCGGGTCCTTTGCATTTGAGCGCTAAGTGATCGTATGCCCAGCATCTGAAACACCTTTGTGGTGTAGTAACTTCTGTAACTTGACAGCGAGTCCAACCAACAATTAAATGTCCGCGCGCCAGTACTTTTTTTGCATCTTCCGCTGGCAGCATTAGATATGTGGACTCTGTCCCTCCGTACGTTTTGCGCCTACTTTTGATTGTGCATTTATCAGGTCTTTTCACTTTTGCTTGCATTTCCATTGCGTCGAATAACTCGTCATCAGTGTTCAGATCTTTAATAAGCCCTCTGTATTGGATGGTTACATTGTGCGACCGGAGATTCACCTTGGCTACGTTTTCAAGAACCTTTTCAATAGCGGCACAACATTCATTTGCTGCTGCTTTTTCGCTCTTTTTCAGCTCGATAAGCAGGTCTCCTTTTTGTGTACGGCGCAGGGTTTTAACCTTGTTGCCTAGGTTTTTTAGTTGTTCATTTGATTTCACTGTTCGCAGAATTTCAGCGTATGACATCTCTTTTTCCATTTTTTCAATGATGATGGCATCGGCTCGCGGTCTTATTGATTTACCCTTTTTTATATTGGATGCCTTCTTTTTTGGTTGTACTTTCGTCCATTCTTCTACTGGTTGGTTCAGCCTTTCGGCCACAGCGTCTGATTTGCGCTTTTTAGTATCAGGTGATTTGGTTGCTTCTTCTGTAGGCTTTTTTGGACTCATTTTGGATTTTGTCCTTTTTGCCGATACCGATGTTGCGTCTCGTTTTGCTGTCAACGGCGTTTCTCGTTGTTGTACCAAGGTGATGTTTGACTTGGCTTTGTACTCACTCATCTCTATGTGCATGATGAGATTTGTGTGCGCCTTTTTAATTGTGCTGCACATTCTCTTTATATCTTTGTGCACATTGTTACGTGGCTCGACGTATTGAACGAGGCTGTCAATTTCTTGTCCTAACCGCTTGGCTAACTGACTTACTACGGTTTCTTGTGCTAGATCAATAATAGCCACATCTTTCGCAAGTTGTTGTTGTTGCTGGCTCTTTCGTATTTCTTCTTGCTTATTTGTTTTCAATATTGTTGTTGATCGATTTACTGTTTCGTTGCTACTTAATATTGATGGAGGTGTCCGCTTAATAACGGAGCCTATCCTAAAAGGCGTGGAAGTTTCTTCGGTGGTGGTGCATATTACAACGTCATCGTTGTCGTCGTTCATTTGATTGTTTTCAGTGTTTTTGTAGTTTTTGTTATTCATGGCATATGGGTCCCAACTTCAAGCCGCTATCTCGGCCAGTATGTGCAGTCACTTTAATGTC